GGGTTGCCAGAATGCCAGTCAACTTAACCACTTGCCTGAACTCATCAACAACAACTTGTTAGCGGTTAGGGCATTAACAGATAGATAACCGCACATTGGGGAATGAATGCACCTAAGCAGTTAACCATTTCTATTATGCCTTTGCTTGGTTGCATGCGTCATCCCGGCTTTTCCTTATTTCTATGTGCCACTTTCTTTTTGTTTTTCCATTGTTTCTTGCCGCTCTCTCGTTTTGCATATTTTCCATTTTATTACTTGGTTACGGTCGAATCCTATGGAGATTGCCTACGTATCACGACCCCGCGTGAATCAGACCGAGCGTAGTTCGTGAAGACTAAATGTAAAGTAGAAGCAAAATATTTGTTTGGGATTTTCAATTTTATTGATAGCAAATACGTCTATTACAAAGACTCAAAACTGACAAATTAAACAACTAACAAACTCTAATGCAGAAAAGAACTACAGACTCCACCATCCCTATACTACTTTAAACGAAAATACAGACTCAATCAACTGACTGACTTTTAACGAAAAGGAAATACAGACTCCAGTAGAAAAGGAAATACAGACTCAAATGACCAACTCTAGTAGAAAAGGAAATACAGACTCAAAAACAAACTCTGGTAGAAAAGGAAATACAGACTCAAAAGACAATCATGAATACATTAAAGCTCCTGGTGCTCGCGGGACATCGTTCGGTCTCGCCGCGGGCCTATATGCAAGTTTCCCTTATTTTGAACCGTGCTCATCCTGCACATTCATTAAGGTGATTTAATCACTTATTTTGACCTAAAAGAAAAAAAAATGACACTATTTTTGTTCAAATTTCTAATTTTAAAACAAACGGCCGGTTTTGCAGTTACGGCCCTTCAGCACTTCGGGGAGAAGATTTTAAGGCTGTGCCTGCTAACCGTTGAAACTGACTCAGGGTGGCTGTTCTTGCAAAAACAGCCTTCCGGCGCCCTTTTTGGGGACATTCGGCTTATTTTAAACAAGAATGGCGGCACCCGACTTATTCAAGACGAAATTAAAAAAAATTGGCATTTTTGGCTATTTTTGAAAAGGGGAGGTTGGACCCGATGAGGGTTGCCTACGTATCTCACATCCGGTGAGAATCAAACCTGCGTAGTTCGGGCAAATAAAGCTGACTATTTTTGAAAACAAGACTCTTTTTGTTTTTTGTTGGCAAATACACTATTTCTGAAAGCAAGATTCTTTTTTATATTTTCTTTTTCAGTGGCAAATAAACAAACTAAATTGAAAGTAAAACTCTTTTTTGTTTTTCTTTTCCATTGGCAAACTAAAAAAACTACTTTTCTTCTTTTCTTTCATTTTCTCAAAAATCCGGCAGCATTTCGGCACTACTTGGACATTGGTTTTTCTAGTATAGGTAATTAACGCTCTACACTGCTATTTTCTCTTTTTCTCTTTTTGTTTTTTCTTTTCAATTTTTCCCAGATATTCAAAGCCGGTCAGCATGTTAGTCCAAAACAGATAAATGCACAAGTAGGATGCATCAGGATGGTCCATTATTCCGGGTACACCTGTCCTAGACGGACCCAACCCCTGTGTTGAGTCCCCTAAGTCAAAATGCACGTGATGCAGATAAGCGTTCCTACTAGGGATCCAGTATGGGGTCAAGTTATTCTAGGTTCAAAACCTGGGTATATGTTCTAGACTGTGTACCCGAGCGGACAACTCGAGTCGAGGAGGGGGCTACGTACCGGGAACCAAAAGGCCATCCGGCTTAGTAACTTGTCCGGCCTCTTTCTTATTTTAAGGTATGACACTAACAGAATAGGGAGTCTCCACCAGTGAGCACATCCCCGGAGGTGAGAAGAGAAGGGTTTCGTCACAGTTTATATACAGTTCAAATAATATCAAAGCGGTAAAGCATTTAGCACATTTAGCATGAAACATGCAGGAAAATCAAATAAAGCCAAACATAACAATTATTCTAAGCTCGAATTCTTAAACCCTGAACCGAAGTTCTGGGTTTGTGTCCCCAGCAGAGTCGCCAGAGCTGTCACACCTCCTTTTTTCTACACCCGCAAGGGTGTAAAGGAGTTTTTCCACTTAAAGGACAATCAGAACGGGATTTATTATTAAGATTCAGAGTCGCCACTTGAGAGATTAATGGTGTCTCAAGTCACCGGTTGAATCCTGAACCGAGGAAATTATGACCCTGTTAACAGTCCGCGAACCATAAATCCGAGTAAGGATTTATGTTAACCCGGGAGAAGGTGTTAGGCATTCCCGAGTTCCGTGGTTCTTGCACGGTCGCTCAACTGTCATATTTGGCTTACATGTTTTAGCTTATGCTTTTTTAACTTTGAACCGCTTTTATTATGATTATTTTAAGAGAATTGCAACGTCGTGAAAACACGTCTCGAACTGCGTCACATAAATGCACATGCAATTTTTGACACATTTCGACTTCGTTGGGACTTGGATTTGGGTCACATAAATGTGCACCCGTATTTAGGAAGGTAAAATTATTTAAAATACGTACCTAAAGTAGCTAGCGTGTTATTAGCTTTGGGGGAAAACCGTGAAATTCGCTAAACGGCCCATCCCGAATTCTAAATATTTTTATGTATACATTTGTTGAGGGCCCCGCAATTTATGTGTTTTTATTTAGCGAGGCTCATCTCATTCATTATTTAAAGGTCCAACCTAAAAGGATTATGTTTTCCTAAATGCTAAAATTTAGTAACTTGGTGAATGTCCATCAGGGCCAGTTAGTGAGGCCCAAATTGAAGATCTCATATTGCTAAAACTTCTGGGCCTGCTTATTGAGGGGATCAGGCCGCATGTTGCTGCACGAATTTCAGCCATGGAGCTGACTATTTCCAACTAGGCCTGGCATTTGAGCCCAGTGATACAGAAGAAGAATCCAATTGCAAACTGTCTAAATTCTATAATTCAAACTAGCTAAGCGGACAATTTAATTCAAAGCACTTTGCAATTCGAATTTGTTCTGAATTGAATGCCTATACAGACAACAGATAGGTGACCAAAACGCAATCACGTTAAGTGAATAATGATTATCTCGAGTTCAGATTCATGCAACACTGATAGATTCATAAACTTTGTGACATGAAATTCGAACAGAACCAGCATTACACACATTAACTTCTGTTTCCCATTAACACCTATTAATATTGGCATTGAGCCTAAATTGATTTGAATCTAGCAATTCTAACTACGCTTATATAAGCATGAAATAAATTAGGAATCGTGTTTAATATCTCATACAGTCCAAACAGTCCGTGTTATTTACAGTGAAGTACTAAAATATTGACAGTGAATGAGATCTGTAATGTGCATGCTTCAACTCATTTTCATCTTAACTTGCAACCTACACAGTAATGACCTCAGGAAGTGTACCTGAAAGTGGAAATTGAATAAGAAGAACGAGAGGTCAGCAACAGCAAGCAGGTAATCAGAAGCAGCCCAGAAATATTTTGAATCAAATAGGACTAGTAGATCAACCCAAAACAGCACCAAAATAGCCAAAACTGAACCCAGTAAATACACACTCAGCAGACAATCCACAGCTAACTCGAACAAATCAGATCCAATGCACAAGTGACTTTATATGCTTTCAAATCTCAAATATCGAACAGAACCAGGGAAATTCAAGTAGTTTTGGATCCTAAATAAGCCTGCGAGTTGAATTAAATGCTAGATTCGAAAATGACCTAAGGAAAATCTATGTAACAGTATTTTGGGATTTTTTTTTTGGTTTTCTGTTGTTTTTGGATTTTTAGATCTAGGAGGGACTTAGAAATTCAGATGTAACAGTATTTTGGGATTTTTTTGGAAGGTTTTCTGTTGTTTTTGGATTTTCAGATGTTCAAAAACTTCTTTTGAATTTTCAGGCGTGTTCAATTTGTCAATGAAGGCAAAGGGGGCTGCCTTTTATAGGAAAATTTCAGGGGGAAGCTTCTAGATTTCACTCACACTTTTTCCCCCTCTTTTATTTTCAGATTTTATTCCTTAGTCCTAAAGTCTTGACTTGTTGCCTAAGTTATTACCCTAAGTTATTAATATTCCAACTACAGTCCTAGTCTAGAAGGTCATAGAAGGTTCTAGCTTCCTAAATTGCCCCTGAAATTTTCTAAAACTACCAAGTCTAGTCAAATTAATCCAGCCTTTTATCCTAGTTAGACTAACCATGGTTAATTAACTATGAACTAGAAACTACTCAGCTATAACCAAACAACAATTAAAAATTGAACTAACTAAACAATTCAACTAATCATGAAATTAAATCTAAGAATCAATAAACTGACAATTAATGGCAATTGAAACTAAAATCAGATTATCAGCAGCAATCATGGATTATTTAATCAAAACCAAACTAGAAAAAATCAAAACATAACAAAATTAAACCAAAAACTAAAACGAAAACAGAATCAATTAAAACCCTACAATTTCTAAATCAATTAATCATGAAGGACAGTTAGTCAAGCCTAAACAAAGCCCTAAATTAGTCCAAAGGTAGTTGACTCGTTGAAGGAACACAAACTGATCAAACAAATAACAGAATCAAAGAAGAGATGGAGGAATAGACGAAATTACACCAAAGAAAACGAGATAGAGGAAATACCTAACGAAATGACCGGACAGAAATCAGCGAGGATCTTCAGCATGTCATGTCCTGATTCAATCTGAGGCTATTCATGTGTTTTTAACCAAAAACACATAGACAACCTCAGAGCGGAACCAAAACCTTGACGAAGACTTCAACTGGAAATTTTTGGATTTTAGGGTTAAACTAAATTCGAGATTCGAGAGGTTTCAGGGATGTTTGAGGAGAACTAGTACAGGATTTAATCATGTGGGAGGCAAAGGGGGCCTCAGGGTATTGATTTGGGAGTGGTTGAGGCCGGCGCCGCCAACTTGAGGTGATGGAGTTTAGGGGCGGCGGGCTAGGGTTTCCATAATCTGAGGCGATACAAGGGGATTTTGGGAAAACAGAGTGTGGTATGGGTATGGGGGAGGGAAGGCGAGGTTGTGGTGTGAATTTGGGCCTGATTGGCCGCCGATCGCCGTCGTGGGCCATTTCCGGCGGGCGGTGCACGGTGGCCCAAGGGGGCGTTATATCTGAGTGTGTGAAGGTTGTGAGAGACGGCTTGGGGGGTAGGGGGGGAGGTTATGACACTTATATATCAAATGTTCCCATAGTTCTGAGCCGTAGGATCATCCAACCTCGACGGCTCAGATTGAATTGATCCAAACGGCATCGTTTGGTTGGGGTATGGGAAATGGACCAGACTAGGGCGTTTGGGCTTTGGACCAGGGTGGTTGAGATTGGGGCTGGGTCAATTAAAATCACAGGAGGCCCAATTTGTGGGTCTTTTTCAAATAACTCAATTCTTTGAATTTCTTTTCTCTTTTTTTCTTTTTACAAATTAAACCTAAATCCAAATTAGCTCTTAATAAAATTATCCTACCAAATTGATTAGCTCTAAATGACAATTACCACTGATAATTAAATACCAAAATAAAAGAAAGATTACTAAAGTTCCAAAATAAAACTAGAGGGAAAAGTAAACTATTGTTGTGATGATTTTTTTTATTTTTTGTAAACTCCTAATTACTAATTAATTCCAAAAACATGTAAAATTAAACCCTAAATGCAATGCATATATTTTGTATTTTATATGAGTTAAAATGCACAGACAAAAATGCAAACAATTAACACAAAATGTCACAAAAATCCATAAAATTGCTAAATAATGAAAGAAATCATTTTGTTTGAATTTCTGGGAGTAATTCATATAGGGCAAAAATCACGTGCTCACAGAGGCAAAATAAAGACATCCAAAACGATTAAGCGACTCATAAGAGGCTAGATGATTAAATAAGATAGAATACGGTGTCTTCCCATGAAATACCTTAGAGGACAACCTGTTGATCAAATAGGTGTCAGTCAATAAACATTCTCCCTAATATGGAATAGGTACCTTTGATTGAAATAGCAAATCCTTGGCCATTTTTAGAAGATGTATGTGTTTCCTCTCAATAATTTTATTATGTCGAGGTGTACCTATACAAGATATTTGATGCAATGTCCTTAGAGAACTAAGAAAAGCTTCCTGTTGAGAACCTTTTCCTAATTCAAAAGCATTAATGTCCTTAGTTTCTGCACCTCCCCCCCCCCCCAATATCCTTTCAACCACTGCGAGAAAATCCTTCAAAACTGAAAATACGTTACTCTCAGTGCTTAATAAGAAAGTCCAAGTTCTTCTGCTATAATCATCCACAATAATTAAGAAATACTTAAAATCATTATACGTAGGTTCCTTATAAGGTTCTCATGTATCAACTTGAATTAATTCAAATCCTCTCTTGGAAGTAATTTTACTCAAGGGAAAAGGGGTCCTAGTTTGCCTAGAGTTAGGACAATATCATGCGAACATTTAAAATTGAAGGAAAATAAAATAAAACTGAGATGCTTCATTGATGAAAAAGGCAAATGCCCTACTTTAATGTGCTAAAGGTTTACATTAGAGGCTTCATTTGCAAAAAGAGGAAAAACAACTGAAACTTGACTAAAAATACTATCATTTAAAGATGTAATACTTTTCTCCTTTGAGCTAATCCTAGTAGCATTAGGCTGCAATGGATATAATCCATCTCTTTCTTCACCAAAATCTTGAGCCCTCTTTATTAAGGGGTCTACAAGAGACATAACTTAGGAGTGAATAAGATTATATAGTGAAACTTAACACAAAACATAATGACTGATAACAGGTCATAACTGAAACTGGGAAAATGAAGAACATTCTCTAAAATGAAATCAGCAGAGATACAAATTCTCCCTGTATGTGTGACTGTCACCTTAAAAGAATTGGGCATATTTCTGTGCAAGGGAACATGAAGGGATTTTAGGGAAATAAACGTATTTGAATCAAACACATATACTCTGAAACCCCTAAATCAATTATCCAGGTGTTAGTGTTAAAAACTGAAAAATAACTTCCAATGTATTTCATAATAGTACCAACTACTGCATTTGTGTTTATCTCTGAATTAAAATTCCCTGAGTCTGTAACTTTCACTTGCTTGATCATCTGGACTAATTGTGAAAATTTATCTTTGGAAAGATCTTGTTCAGAACCTCACTGTAACTATTTGCATCCTCTCCCTGATCCTCTATGATAGCACCATTGCTCTTAACTTGGACTTGAGATTCTCTAGGATTGGTGAATTCAAAATCCTCAGGAAATCTAATGATTTTGTAGCAATCACTCAGTGAATGTCCAATTATCTGGCAATGGGTGAAAGATAAGGACGGAACTTATGCTTCTTTCCTTTAGAAAGAGTGTTTTTCTGTGGTGTGTTTGTAATTTTCTGTATATTACTTCCCCGATATTTGAAATTGCATGTTGTTTCCTAATATTTGAAACTGTTGAGACTGTCTTGTGTTTCTTTGGATCTATTTTTTACCTTAAAACAAAATCTCGTGTCCTGCAAAGTTGATTTGATAACCTACCATGAAGGATGAAGAGTTAGCATAGAGAAAGTGATTCATAGATCTCTCTCTGACTTTCATCATGTAGAACAAGAGAGTACGCATGGTCAATACTAGGAAAAGGATCATCATAAAAATATTACCCCTTTCATGTCCATAAACATCATTTAAACCCATGAGAAATTGTGACGACCCAAAGGGTCATCACCGGTTTTCTCTCTTTTTTCCGTGCTTCCGAGGCCTTAAAAACCTCACTTTTAGTTTGCCTCGATTTGTGTGCGCAGTCCGGACGCGTAGCCGGAAAGCTTTTATGTTGAAACATGTGAATTCTGTGAAAAATTTGAAGAATTTTGATATTAATATGATTAAAGTTGACTTCGGTCAACATTTTTGGTAAACGGACCCGGACCCGTGATTTGACGGTCCCGGAGGGTCCGTAGAAAAATAAGGGACTCGGGCATGTGCTCGGAGTCGAAATCCAAGGTCTAGAATCCGAGAGAAGAATTTTTCTGTGAAATTGTTTTTCTGAAATTTTAAGGAAAATGGAAATGAAAATTGATTAAAAGACTGAGGTATCGGGCTCGTATTTTGGTTGCGACGCCCGGAACAAGTCTTAAATATGTGTTAAGCGCTTTCTGTAAAGTTTGGTCGAAATCGGACGTCGTTTGACGTGTTTCGGACCTAAATATCTAAAATTTGAAGTTTATGAAGTTAGAATGAAAAATGATGATTTTGGGGTTTGATTCATTGATTTTGATGTTGTTATGGAGATTTGATCGCTTGGTTAAGTTCGTATGAGGTTTTTGAGTTAGTGTGTGGGTTTGGATAGGAGCCCCGAGGGCTCGGGAGTGTTTTTCGGAGGTGTTCGGGGTGGTTTTGGACTTAGGACTTAGGATGATATCAGATTTTCTGCAAATTTTACACAGGGATTTTCTTCATCGCGTTCGCATTAGTTCCCCCGCGTTCGCATAGCTTCAGGTTGGTCTCCTTCGCGTTCGCGTCCCCATCATCGCGATCGCGTAGGCCAGTTTCAGGACCCCCAGTAATTCCTTCACTGTGTTCGCGAACTTGTCCTCGCGTTCGCATAGTATTAGCGCACCCTTCATCGCGTTCGCGTAGAGTAAACCCAGGACCCCAGCCTCTAGACTTCTATGCGTTCGCGTTCCTTCCCACGTGATCACGATGCCTACCCAGCTTACCCTTCGCGAACGCGGCCCCTTTCCCGCGAACGCGAAGGGAATTTTCGCCCAGTGATTTTTAAAGTTCAAAACAGAACCATTACGGGATTATTCCCATTCTTTCATAAAACTTGTCTTCTTCAAGCTCTAGGGGCGACTTTTGGAGCTCTTCTTCACCAAAGTTTTTGGGTAAGTAATTTCCCACCTAATTCCTTCACTCCTCTTCATTAATTACTGAATTCCTAGACCTAAATCATGAAAATCAAAGTAGAAATTAAGGGTTTTGGGTAGAGCTAGGGTTTTGATAATTTTGGGTGATTCAACCTCAATTTGGGGTCGAATCTTAAAACAAATTGCATATTTGAACTCGTGGGGTTATGGGTGATTGGGTTTTGGTCCGAGCCTCGTGTTTGGACCATGTGGGCCCGGTGTCGAATTTTGGTATTTTTGGAAGAATGCTAGGAAATTCATTTCTAGGCTATGGGATTATGTTTTTGAGCCTTTATTGATATTATTGAATTGATTATGCCTAGATACCGTTGTTTCGGAGTCGGATTGTAGAGGAAAGGCGGTATTACATAGTTGATTGCTATTCTCGGACCGAGGTAAGTGTTTGTTCTAACTTTGGCTTGAGAGAATAGGACTAGGATGTTATTTGCTATCTGCTAAATGTGTAGTACGGTGTATAGACATGGTGACGGTTATCTATGCACCGGAGTCTAGCATGACCGTGAGTCCTAATTGTGTTTGATTCAGATTTTTGTGATACATCTTCCTTGTTTAATTGATAAGTTTCATATAATGTGAATGGTTGAGGAAGAAATGTGATTGGTATATTATTGGAGCGTTGGCTCGAACTGGAAATTGATAATTGAGAAAGAAGTGATTAAAAGAGGAAGTGTTGTGATTATTCCCTTGCCGGGACGCGTAGTCTATTATTGTTGTTGCTCCCTTGTCGGGATTTAAGCATTATATGTATTCTCCCTTGCCGGGATATTTGGGCTGTTAGTTGTACCCTTGCCGGGTTAAATCGTTATGTTGTTGAATTCCCTTATTGGGGCCTTCTCTAGAAATATTATATGTATTATTAATTATGAAATGGGATCGTGTGGNATCAGGACTTGCGGCAACATTAATGGTGGCGTAGGATGAAGAAAGATATTGTTGCATATGTGGCTCGATGTCTGAACTGTCAGCAGGTTAAGTATGAGCATCAGAGGCCTGGTGGTTTGTTTCAGAGGATTGAGCTTCCCGAGTGGAAGTGGGAGAGGATTACCATGGATTTCGTTACTGGACTTCCGATGACTCGGAAGAGGTTTGATGCTATTTGGGTCATTGTTGATAGGCTGACCAAGTCAGCACATTTTATTCCGGTTGCAGCCACTTATTCATCGGAGAGGTTAGCTGAGATCTACATCCGAGAGATTGTTCGCCTTCATGGGGTGCCGGTATCTATTATTTCGGACCGGGGTACGCAGTTTACC